AGTATCCCTCTATGTAAGTATCCCTCTATGCAAGTATCCCTCTATGCAAGTATCCCTCTATGCAAGTATCCCTCTATGCAAGTATCCCTCTATGCAAGTATCCCTCTATGTAAGTCTCCCTCTATGCAAGTATCCCTCTATGCAAGTATCCCTCTATGCAAGTATCCCTCTATGTAAGTATCCCTCTATGCAAGTATCCCTCTATGCAAGTATCCTCTTTGCAAGTATCCCTCTGTGCAAGTATCCCTCTATGCAAGTATCCCTCTATGCAAGTATCCCTCTATGCAAGTATCCCTCTATGTAAGTATCCCTCTATGCAAGTATCCCTCTATGCAAGTATCCCTCTATGCAAGTATCCCTCTATGCAAGTATCCCTCTATGCAAGTATCCCTCTATGTAAGTATCCCTCTATGCAAGTATCCCTCTATGCAAGTATCCCTCTATGCAAGTATCCCTCTATGCAAGTTTCCCTCTATGTAAGTATTCCTCTATGTAAGTATCCCTCTATGCAAGTATCCCTCTATGATGCATAAGAAGGTGCCAGTACTGCATACTGCCAAAAAAAAAGACCTGGTCCGGTTTTAAGTGAAAATTGTGTGTGTGTGTATGTCGGCTCTGTGGCTAAGTCGATGCGAACGCTTCGTAATGCCGGTATGCCAGGTTCGATCCCAGCTGCGGGCAACGCCTTGCGTTGGTTTCGACAGTGGTATCAAGAAAGCCGACTGTCCAGAAGCAATGGCAAACTACTGGATGTAAATTGCCTAGAGAAATCACACAACAGCCAGGTGCTGCTGGGGTTGGTTCTGCAGCGTCCTGTAAATGATACGCAACAATGTGTGTGTGAATATAAATATAAATATATATATATATATATATATATATATATATATATATATATATATATATATATATATATATATATAGAGAGAGAGAGAGAGAGAGAGAGAGAGAGACAGACAGACAGACAGACAGACAACGAGAATCACAGTGAGGAAGGGAATGTACAAACTTCGACATCCCGTTGAAGCTTTTGTTACCAATTAAAATTAACGAGACCATCGCTGTAAACCCCTGTCTGGATTCTGCGACTGCCTCTAAAAAAAACGTGTGGTAGCTCAACGCTGGGTATGTCCTAGAATTGTGGGCAGGTTTAAGAGGCATACTCTTGCCTATCTAGGAGTGAGTCGGCGAGAGAGGGGAAAGATTTATTCTGTCAGTCATCGTTCCCCTCCAGACCAGAGGCAGGAAAAGAGGAAGTAAAGAAGTCATAGTTTTTCTGGATTCTTAGAGTATACCCGTGAAGTTTCTCCTCGACTTACGACAGAGTTCAGTTCCCACTGACAGGTCGTAAGTCGAATGTATTTTTCTCGAATTATTTTAATTCAAACGGTTTAAAGAAATTGTACATAAAACACAAAAGATGACCCACTGCCATTTAACAAGCATGTCGTAAAGGGTGAAGAGTTGGGGATTTTCTGAAATCAGATGTGCTGGGCCGAAAGGCACAGGTATCATAGTCTAGCTCGAAACCATAAGAGAGTTCCGGTCAAAATGGACGCTAGGCAGGGGCACTGTTCGGAGCCGAGGCAAATTTTTTACTTCTGCCGGACGGTGGCCGATGCATTTTTGCTGCATTTGTAGACTGGATATCGTTTCGTCGCACAGCTTCTGAGTTAAATGCATGGCGTGACACTGTGAGCTGCGGATTTCATTTGGAATGTTTTGTCGACTGTGACCAACGTGGTGGTGTGAATTATAGATTAAGAAAATGGCGCGATGCCTGTTGTCGCAATGTTGGCGGTGCCCGTATGTGATTAAAATTGTTCGCGTGGGCAACTGCTGGTGACTTCTGCTACCATCAATGATGAACTGCATTTCTAATGGCGGACTGTTTATGTTAGCACTTCGGATGGATACCGTATGCTTTAATGTGTGTGTATGCTAGATATGCTGAGACAGCAGTCTGTCAATCTTTCGACAAGGGACTGTGATAAAGATTTTCGTTGGCACAGGAGCGGAGCAAATATGGTGTGACCCGTTTGCTATGAAGCTGAAACTAAGACTACCAGACCAGACTACCAACATAACAGAACGTGCCAATCGCCTTGTAAGGGCAAAAGCCAAAGAAGAAGAAGAAAAAGAAGAAGAAGAAGAAGAAGAAGAAGAAGAAGAAGAAGAAGAAGAAGAAGAAGAAGAAGAAGAAGAAGAAGAAGAAGAAGAAGAAGAAGAAGAAGAAGAAGAAGAAGAAGAAGAAGAAGAAGAAGAAGAAGAAGACGAAGAAGAAGAAGAAGAATAATGACAACATAGTCATCATATTTATTTCTATTATCTGATCGACGAATCCGGCGATCTTCTTTTGAAACGTCGAATAATAACTCACTTTGCTCATCACATCATCATCATGTGCCCTGTTAACTGGCGTAGGCGCTCATGTGTCTCCACAGATCACTATCCCTGGTGGCCTGGAACAGCTCTCTTGATGATATCCCTTTATGTCATCGCTTATCACATGGCATATGATAAAACAAGCCCCATACAACATTATCTCTCCTTCTATCTCTCCTCGATCATTACAGACAATCAATCATATATTAAAGCAACGAAAGCCAATCACATTTACTTCGAAACCAAACACTGTGTTCCCGGCAGTAACAACCAATCACATTTAATATTTGAAATAATACGTTACTTGCATTTCAGTAATACTAGCCAATCACTTGTCACGACATAAATACTCAGTCGGATATACAAGGTCTTACTTAGCCTCCATCTGATTGGGTAATCCTCACGGCGCTTTGAACACATTTTTGGGATCTCAGAATTACAAATAGACCAGTGTCTTTTATAGTGCCAATTCTATGCTGTAATTAACATTAAAATAGACACGAAACTCATTGGTTTTCAATAGAAGAAGAATGAAGACAAAAGGACACACCAGACAACATAAAAATGGAAAGCTGTAGTTACCGTGCCGAAAAGCGAACCTGTCACTTTCCAATGATGAGGTCGTCTCGCTGCAATAACATGTGTACAACGTATGATCATTCGACACTCCTAAAAAGGGTGTCATCATTAGCCAAGTATATCGTGCAGCTTCATTGCACCACCATGAAATACGGACAGAATTAAGTTTAAACAATTGAAATAGCACCACAGGTTACATAAATGTATATTAACCAAGCATAAGTCGAATAACAAATACAAACACTGGACCGCAATACTGTATCTAGTATATAACGAACATTATATAATAGAAATGATCGGTCAGTTCCAATGTGACGTATTGCAATGCACAGAAATAAACAGACGGGGAACCCTTGATGTCGTAGATATTAAGCCTTCTGGTTTTTCTTTTTATTTTATTTCACGCCATCTCGGGGACTCTGAGATTTCGCTGTGGGTTCCCTGACTGACTGACTGACTGACTTTCTACCCCACATGGACATCACACAAGCGATAAACACCCGATGACACAATGTGCCACCATGTGGGTGAGGATCACCGTGGAGAGGTCCCAGAAACCGCGTTCAGCCTTTAGACCATATTTATGGCCTGGCTATATTGCGGTCGCTGGCAAGAGCCAGAGTAGGGCTTCAAATAACTAAAATTTCCATCCTAGAAAGGACGGGAAATACTATAGGGGGTTACCTGGAAAGTCTAATAGTATAATAGTGTTAGGGTGTGAATGAACACCGACTAACACTAACCTAAACCCCCTTCCCCATAATATTGGACTTTCCCGGGAACTCCCTACGAGGGGGGGGGGTGAAATAAAAGAAAAGAACCAGACCTCGTATGGCTGGTGTCGCTCTCGTGCAGGTTAGGCCAGTCTTTACTCCAAGTTTTCACATTCTTAGCAGCGTTGCAGACGCAGTTTCTCAAAATCCCGCGGCCGTTATCTAACCATAGGGGCATTCACTCTATCTGCGTCGTGGTCTACAGGCCGGCCATCTGCAACCATAGGTCCCTCTGAGTTATTGGTCTACGTCTGCCTCGCCTTCAAACCAGGCCTTCTTTTACAGTGTTCTTTTCAAGTCAGCCAATTATATTTCACCAGTATTTATAATTATTTACACACACCTCATTCTGCAGCGTTTTGCGTCATAATCATAACATCCAGTCACATATACAACATTAAAAATCATGATCTCTCACATAATTTACAATCAATCAAATCTAAACTTTCATACCACACATTATTCATCACTAATCTGAACTGGCCAATCACGTGTTAGGACACCACTAACAAACGATAACTTTCTAAGCTAATAGTGTGGGTTCCGAGGCCACTGCCCCTTAAACAAGCATGTCGTAAAAGGCAACTAATGAAGGATGTTTCTTACGAAGTCGGACTGTATCTACCTGCGAGGCGAGGTACCTGTAGTATGCATTGAAAAAAAAAAAAAAACAGTTCTTTAAAATGGACGCACATGCAAAACTCAAGTTTTGCAACAAGAATACAGTCTATAAATGGTCGAAAAAGCAGAACTTTCCGTCAAAGTTTACAGCTGGCGAACATGAAAGAAGAAGACCTAAGCCCCCCTCTCGTTGTGCTAGTTTCTTCTTCCATAAGTCATGTATTCAGTTGTTGCATTTTTTAAGTTTAATCAATTACATATTTTCAGTTATATGTATGATATTCTTGAACACCCCCTCTCACTGTCAAAGCGATAAGCCACACCCGAAAGCAACGCCAGCCAATCACATTTACATCGCCGTTAAACTGTTCCCTTGGCAACAATAAACGTTCGGATTTAGAATTTCATATGCGTAAATTATTCACCATCGAACAGTACTAATCAATCACATTTTAAATACAGTCAATCAGATATATTATTTAACATTTAAATGTATACATTATTCATCACTGAGCAATGCTAGCCAGTCACGTCTCATTACACAGTCAGCCAATCATATATATACGATTTAACATTTAAAATTCATAAACTAGGTCATTGAGCAGTACTAGCCAATCGTATGCTACAAAAACATATAGCCAATCACATATACGATGTCCTACTAAGCCTGCCTCTCAGTGTTGTGCTGTTTGGTACGTTCTCTTGAATGTCTTCACTTCGCTGAGTCCGGACACGCCTACATATAAAGAGGTGCCAGTCTTCTGGTAACAGAATCAGCAGAACGCCCGTGGTAATCAACACCAGTGCAGCAATTTTCATACCTGAAAACTCCCGGTGCTTCCATACAATGTCTGCCACTGTGAAACGGAGAAATAAGCAAGATGTTTAATGTAGCATACGCTTCCTCAATGCTGAGCAGTACTAGCCAATCATATGCTAAAAAAAAAATGCTGTGAGCATTTATAAAGGTATATTCAACAAGGTCGCATACGCTCCATCGATACTTGTCTGTGCGAGGGACTAGTTACTGGCTGTCGACCTGCCTGGTTGGAAGAGGTACCCAGAGTTAATCCGGAAAACCGGCCTGAGACCCGACATTGTCCTACACTCTGCGGAGAAACGCCAGCTCATCCTGATTGAGCTGACCGTGCCGTACAAGTCGTGAATGGACGACACATGAAAAGAAGTCATCTGTTTCAAGCTTGTTCGCCAGATGGCGTGTATGTCCTGACTGTGGTGCGCTCACGGCACTTCAGCACCTGAGGAGAATCGAGGAGAGTAGAAACGAAACTCGAGGAGAAACGAAGCTTACGCAGTAAAAATCTTCGCCGTCGAGGTAGGCGCAAGAGGTCTTATCTCCAATTCCATGTACAATGTGCTAAAGCAGCTGGAATTGCGAGGAAACGAGAGCAAACAATCACTGAAACAACAGGACAAAGCTGTTGAAAGAGCTTCGAGCTGGCTCTGGACGCAACGGAACGTCGTGGGGAGTGGGCCTCGGTAGACTGGTCCGAGTCTCTAGTGGAAAAGAACGTCATTCCTAAAAAAAAGCCAATGTTTGCCAGTGTTCCTCTGCCAATTGCAAAAGTCTAACATGTGTCCGATGAAGGAACCGTAAGCTTGTCACTTGGTCAAGAATACATATTTCCAACTTTGAATCTCACAGTACCCGTTGCATAGTCACCAGTTCGTCTTGTCCCTGTTCGAGAAAATCCGATAAAGTGCAGCAGGAGAAGATCGAGGCCTGGGAGTCATGATCCAGGTCGGCCCACCCTCTGAAGTTGTCTAGGAGGCTATGGGCCGAAGCAATTGTCACGAGGGGTCTTCTACTGATGAATGGGGGACTCCTGCAGTACATGCTCCTCTGTGGATTTCTTCTTATTATTGTGTTAAAATTTGGGTTATCTTCATTGCTCTCCGGACACTTCCATAGATGCTCAGATTCCCCCTCAACATATACATCAGCGTCCCGCGGTTGACAGTCCCAGTCCTATGTTGGTTGACAAGGCTTCTCGTGCATCCTGTGTGCTTTTCGTAGTTAGCTGTGTCGATCTTGTTTCCCAATTTTTGCGCTCTTTGCAAAGATGTGAAAGTGCTGCTCCTAAAGTCCTCTGAACGTCCTATCTCTCTTTTGACGTTAACAATGTCGGCATGATCCACGGGCCGGCCCTCTGTAACTAATGCAGAGACGGCTAATCTGTCGGCTCTTTCATTGTTAACAACACCCGCATACCCTGTTACAAAGATGAAGGTAACTCCACGCACGGTGGAGTTTTGCAATGACTCGATCCACTGTCTGCGTACAAAGCCTGTCTCGGCACTCCAAATAATGCTCATGGAATCACTCAGCACACACGCGTGATAACAGCCTTATATAATGTGTTGCCTGTGCCCAAAGCAAAATGAAATTTCCCCCGCATGTGTCTCCATGTTACACCTGGCTGCCGTTGCTGCTACAGGTACTCTCATTGAAGCTTCTCTGAGTGTTGAACGGGGTATCTATGATCTGTTTTGTTGGTCTGCCTTACATGCTGAGATTCAATCTCAGGATCTTCCTGTTGGGGTTCCGGGGCCCCATTCTGGACGAAAACAAGAATAGATCTACTGCCTGCTCAAAAGCACGTCGCGAGAGTCGACTAAGTGGAAGCTTCCTTCTATATCGTATTACACCTGCCTGAGAGGCAAGGAACCAACAGTCTGCATGTAAATAAGTCAGACCTGTAAAACGGATGTGCATGCATGACTTAGTTTCGGAAATAGGATTAGAGCCCAGAAGTGGGCAAACAACCAGAAATTTTCTGCCGGAGTTTATAGCCGGTGACCGTGAAGAAGAAGAAGAAGAAGAAGAAAACGAAGACGAACAAGAAGAAGAACAAGAAGAAGAACAAGAAGAAGAATCTCAGGATCGTTTGTGTGCGACGGGAAAAAAACAATGTGTGTGATAGCGGATGCTAGAAGAAATATTGCATATGAACACCTTACCTGCGCAGACCGGAACAGCTAAAACCAGACCCAGTCCTATGAATACTGTATATGTCAAGTTGGCCGCGCATTCTTTCACACTCCAGTACACTGTGAATACGACAGGAAGGTCTTTATCAAAAGCAGTCCTACAATGTTTGAATTAAGAATTGACATCACAGCACTTGGGACACTCCCATAAGTGTTCAGTCCCCATGTTCAACAGCAAGCGAAGAGTTCCAATTCCGATGGTACCAGTAACCATCTGATTGTATATCCGTCTCATCCCACCCCTAAGTGTTGAGCGTCAGTCAGGTCGCCTGGTAACTTCTCGCAGCACCATTCTCCTTAGACCGTAAGGATCTTTCTGCGCCTCCGCACTGTTCACTTGCTCCTAAAGGGCCCTTACAATGTCTAACTTGTCATACATCAGTTCATCCCCCAAGTGGCGAAGAGCCGGCCAGTCTGTCCGCCTGCTCATTTATCAACACACCCACGTGACCTGGAGAAAATATCCAAAGCCGTCCTACAAGATGATGATACTATTCGTAACAATAATTGTTGTTGTAACAGTAATACTAATATCAATAATAGCTAATGTTTTACACAATATAACAATTAGACTCATGCCAGCCCACACTGGACCTCCCTTAGGATCCTCGCCGATGCTACGTAGTTCGTGCGCTGTGCTAAGATTCTTCTGACCCAGGCTTGAGTCAGAAGTAGAACGGAGCACTAATGGGTTGCTACCCTTGTGCCATAATGTTGATCCTTCGTCTAAACCTGGGGCCCCATGGTGAACAGTTTGGGAATCACTGCCCTAGGACATGTTTGTTCAGTTAGGTTGCCGAATTAGTTTTGTTCAATGTACGGACGCTTTGTTCTTTTGCCATTTCTACGTGATCACAGTGAGCTTTCATCACGTCCGCTTTACCATAAAGCAGCTTACCACCCAGTGGGGCTACAGCAGCTAACCTATCATACTGTTTATTACCCTGCACACTAGAATTACTGACTCTCCCCCCCCCCCCCCCCCCCCCCCCAGTTTCTCCAGTGGATCAAGATAACTTACCAGCATCATTACAGAATCATTACAGAAGTCCACCGTGCATGGAGTCACCTTTATTTTTGTTCCGGGACACGCAGGCGTCGATGGAAATGAAAGAGCTGACAGGTTGGCTGGATCCGCTATCACTACTGACGGTCAGCCTATGGATCATGCTGATATTATCAATGCCCTCAGAGAAATGGGAAGGATAGAGGACTTTGGTGGCAGTGAATCCACATCACTCGCCAGAATGGCAGACTTGGGAATTAAGATCGGCACAGCAAAAAACGAGACGCACACCGGACACGTCAGAAGACTTGTTAACATAGAACTGGTACTATTAGCCATCGGACGTTGGGGTTCATTCTGAGGAGAGGATCTGAGCACCTATGGACATGGCCGGAGTGCAATGAGGATAACCCAACTAACTAACTAACTAACTTACCAGCAGAGAAGAACTGACCTCTTCTTTGTTTTTTCTGTGTTCATCCTTAAAATGGCGGTTGGTAAGCCGAGGTACAGTTTACAACTAAATTGTTGTGCTATATTAACATTCGCACCAGCACCATCATATCCGATTTCGGCAAACTCCTCTACTTAGTCGCCTTTTATGACATGCTTGATGGGGTACGGGTGGGGGAGGGAAAGGTTGGTTTGAGGCAGTGGTTTTTTATTTTATTTTCCCCGCCCAAAAACAATGGAACCCGCGGAACCCACAGGGTAACAGGAATTAAGGAAACAATAATTACCACTGGCCAAAGCAGCGCTGGAGACAATGGTTCCCCAAGGGGCATCACTCCAGGCAATCGTCTCGCTTCCTAGGAAATAGACTAACAACCAGAATGGACAGAAACATAACAAGGAGAACAAGCCTGCGGAAAAGAGATGGTGGACGATTAGTGTTAATATTTGTGAAAGATGGCAAATCATTATCATCATCATTATTATCATCACGGAAATCCGTAAAACTGGCCCCCAAGTCTGAATGCTCCATTGCGTCTCCGGAAGTAACTAGTCGGTAAAACTATGAACTAGTCATAGACCTGCATGGAGACATAAAGGAAGTAGCTTCTCCACCATGCAAAGACACAACAGGCCAATCACCTGTTTGCCTAAAACTACGATTAAAAGTTATCACAAAGAGAAAACCGGACGGATCTCAACTTCGACGAACGTTATTTTTTTTTTTATTTACCCCAAACACAGAAAATCCTGGAAAACCCGAAGAGTCCAGTAATCTAGGGATGTTATAGGTTAGGGTTAGGGTTAGAGTTAGGGTTAGAGTTAGGGGTAGGGTTAGAGTTAGGGTTAGAATTAGGGGTAGGGTTAGAGTTAGGGTTAGAATTAGGGGTAAGGTTAGAGTTAGGGGTAGGGTTAGAGTTAGGGTTAGAATTAGGGGTGGGGTTAGTCAGTGCCTCTGAGGCGGTCGGGGCTGACAATGATCCTAACCCTAACCCCAACCTATAATACTGCTAGAATATTGGACTTTCCCGGAAACTCTAGGAATTCTTTTCTTTGAGGTGAATAAAAAAATTAGGTATCAGATAAACTGATGATAGAGAAGTTTGTCGGTCTATCTCGCAAACCTCTACACTTTAAGGTAGAAGAGAATCGACTAATAGAAATATGTCGATCTATCTCGCAAACCTCTATACTTCAAGGTAGAAGAGACTCGATCGACTAAAAGAAATATGTCGATCTATCTTGCAAACCTCTACACTTCAAGGTAGAAGAGACTCGATCGACTAAAAGAAATATGTCGATCTATCTTGCAAACCTCTACACTTCAAGGTAGAAGAGAATCGACTAATAGAAATATGTCGATCTATCTCGTAAACCTCTACACTTCAAAGTAGAATAGAAACGACTAAGAGAAATATGTCGATCTATCTTGCAAACCTCTACACTTCAAAGTAGAATAGAATCGACTAAGAGAAATATGTCGATCTATCTCGCAAACCTCTACACTTCATGGTAAAAGAGAATCGACTAAAAGAAATATGTCGATCTATCTTGCAAACATCTACATTTCAAGGTAGAAGAGAATCGACTAAGAGAAGAGGTTATCCTCATCATTTCCTTTGCCAATATTCTGTCATCGTGTCTGCTAATTGTCCATGTTTGACATGGTGAAGTTGTCAAGCCGTTAGCCTCGTACACTAAAGGTTTTATGTTCATTTTCCGGCTGTGCAGTTCAGTTCAGTTCACCAGTGCAATTTTTACGGAAATCCCAGGGGATCGTCGCTGAAGGTACGGAGTTCATACTTAGTGTGACATTTTCGGCAGGCGGCTAGCCAAATGGAATCAGACATGGTTCAATGAAGTTAATCTTCCCGACTGTAACCTTTTTTTAATTAACAAAAATAAATATTTTCTAGTAATTTGTATTGTACAACAATTTAATAATATTCTGTGTGTGTGTGTGGGTTTGCGTTCACCGGCTCTTAACTCTAGCGAAAAGTTCTGGGTGTTCGACCATCTTTGGACTTTAGTCTGGTTCTAGAATCTGTATGTTGCGTGCACAACCGTTTTACTCTTCTGGCTATTTGAGTCTAGGTCCCTTGCCTCTCCGGCAGACGTACTCCGACTTCCAAGGATGACCCCAGTTAGTCTACTCCTACGACATGCTTGTTGGGGAGGCTGTGGGTCTATTCTTGTCTACCCACCCCCACAATGGGTTCTCGGAACCCAGCTGGGGGGAAATAATATTCATCCCCAAATACCCTGCCCAGTCGTGGGCTCTTTCGTCTCTTCTCAGATCTCAGTCCTTGGTATTTTGAATCTTCTTCTTCTTCATCTTCTTCTTCACGTTCACCGGCTGTAAACTCCGGCGGACATTTCTGGTTGTTTGTCTACTTCTGGACTCTAGTCCTGTTCCAGAAACTGAGTGTTGCGTGCACATCCGTCTTACAAGTCTGACTCATTTGCATGTAGACTTTTGGTTCCTTGCCTTTCAGGCAGATGCACTCTAACATCTAATTACGCTCCTAATTAGTCGAATCTTACGACATGCTTGTGGGCAGGCATTTGGTCAATCCTCCTCCCCCCCCCCCTCCCCACAATGCGGTCTTGGAACCCACACGGGGAGTATTTTAAAACACTTCTACTTGTGATATTCCACCATCTCATCGCTTGAGGCCATCAAGCCTCATCTCTCTTGGTCTACCTCTGCCTCTTCTACATCTGATGCTTCGTGTCATCACGATTTTCTCCAGTACCTCTCTTCTCATCACATGACTAAAGTACCCCCGATCGCCTCTTTCTGATATTTTTTTCTGTATAGTTTTCTAGGCTATCTTCCGAATAAGAGTCCCAAATTATCATGGCCGAAAATATACCCTAACAGAGCTTCAGTCACATGTCAATTGCGAACTTCCGGCGACATAAATTGCGCACTCCTGGCGACTTCCACCACCGCCGAGAAGTATCACGCGGCGTGGATTGAGGCTATACTAGATGGCTGGGACTCACAAACAGCAGGTACCGCATCTCCTGTAGCTTCCTTCATTTCATTTGCTCGTGAGTCCCAGCCATCTAGTTTAACCCGAATCCATGCCGCGTGAGCGGCGTCAGGGATACGCTCGGCGGTATAGTTCCCGGAATACGCAATTCTGGGGTGGCGGTATAGTCCCCGGAAGTGCGCAATTGACACGTGACTGAGGCTCTGTTAGGGTATATTTTCGGCCTCAATAATTTGGGACCGTTATTCGGAAGATAGCCGTTTTCTATCTTCATCAGCCATCTTCAGACAATATTTTTAAGTCGCTCCGTCTGTCCATAGTATCAACGACAGGCGTCCCGGAAACTACAAATATAAGCGGTTGTAATAATAATTATGATATAATAATAATAATTGTGACTATTAATGCTAGTAGTTAGTGACACCAACAGCAAGAAGCAGAACCTCAAATCTCCCTCGACACCCGGAGCGGTAAAAGAGAAAGTAAAGAAGATAGGAAGAAGAATAATTAGCAGCAGATAATAGTACTATCTACTCACAACAACAACAATAACACTCATACCTACAACAGAAATGAAAAACAAAGCTTGGGCACTGGACACCTCACCCAGGAATTTTTTATACAAAACCTGCAGGCATAGAAAACGGTTATCAACATTCGATTTAACATAAGCATACATTAAAGAAAAAGAACCTTTCGGTACTTTTCTTTTTGTTCACCCCATCTCGGGGATTCCGAGATGTCTAGGGGAGTTCCCAGGAAAGTCTAATATTATAGCGGGTTAGGGTTAATGTTAGTCGGTGTTGACTTCCCATCCTAACCAATCGTACATTAAAAGTAGTCGACCCCCCCCCCTTTTTTTTGGTGGAACCAGAACGATCTTTATGGATAATAATGTCACTCTGACTGACCTCTGACCTCTAGCTTACTTACACGGCCTTCTCTGTTTAAAGTAAATATTGTTTTCATCCACTTACCCAGAGCTCCGAAATATCTTGACACTATTTATCCGCAGTGTAGTTGCACTATTTATGCACAGTCTGAAAGCAATATCGTGTATATCCACTTCACAATATCCGCTTGTCGATTTGTAATACGAATACATTTAAAACACAGAACTTCATAAGCACATTAAAATGTCACACGATGCAACACATGAAAAGGGCTTCCAGTAACCAGTTTCCGATGGACTCCTTTCAAAAAGTGACGTCATTTAGTTGTCAGGCACTATTAGAGACGGCGTGGCTCACTTACATATTAGCCTGTATAACGCATACAGTACCTTTCCATATTATTGTCCTCACTCTCTACAGTCCGTTCCAAATGTCGTGCACTCTCACTTCAACAAATTTCTGGAAAACTGTACGGATTCAAACAGATTTTTACAGGTGGTCTTTGATTTCCCACGCCCTTGTGATATCTGTCGGCGTCTATGGCTTAGACCGAGAGCCGACCGTCCAGTAAGCAATGGCAAACTACTGGACGTAAATTTTCCTAAAAATTCCATAACAGCCAGAAAGTGCTGGGGCTGGTTCTGCAACGTCCTGTAAAGGATACACAACTAACTTTTTAAGTTTGTGATTTCTAAATTTACAATTTCAAATGTGCTCAGTGGCGTAACTAGGGTATAGCGGACGGGGCATACGCCCTGGGCGTCGCTTGAAGATGTGCCAAAACACTTTTTTTGGTTGCTCTCAGCTTCTCGTCTGGAGGGTCCACAGTGAATTTCATTTTGTTGAAGAAAGGCTAGAAGGGCGCCAGCCTACACAGATATAAGCACTCACCTGTGATCAGCACTGCTTACATTTAAAAAATTAAGTGTTATGTAGTCTAGCCAGACAAAGTTATAATTTCTGTAACAGTACCCGGTGCAATTTTCGTAACTCTCAGACAAAACTGAGTAGGAATAGCATAGCAGGTGGTTTGTTTTTGTTTGTTTGTTTGTTTGTTTGTTTTAGTATCCAGAATCCATGAGTTGTTAACCCTTAGGCTCGGTATTATGGATATCGCAACCTTTCGGCCTTGATTCCATTGTAAATACCGTAAATCTGGGAGAAAATGTGGCTTTCCTGCCTACCCCCGGGATTGAACCCGGACCACAAGGAGTACGTCACCCGGTCTCCGCGAAATCCGGTTTAGCCAACTACGCTAGAGATCCGGGCCATAGCAGGTGGTAAGAGTGCTAAAGAAAATGTTCACATGACAGTGAAAGGAAGCAAAGCCCACGAAGTTGGTGATCTTCTACTTCTTTTCCTCCATTTACCTCTTCAATGTGTTGGGGGGAGATGTAAGGATCATTTGCGCGCTTTTTCCCAATGCATTGTACAAGTTGGTGTTCATTTCTATAAGGTTACTCCTGATGATCTATAAAAATATAGGTCTAGCCCTATATGCCCTATACGCCTAAAGGCGTGGAAGGGGTCCTTTACTTTACTTTTACTTACTCCTGATGATGTCGCTCCATCTCTTGCGGGGTCTTCCTCTTGCTCTGCATTCATTATATTTCTTTAGAGACGCTAGCTCAGTGGGCAGTTGATACCAGACGTCTCCCCAAGGAAAAACTCATCAATTATTATCAAGCACTAGCACCAGACCACTCACCCCATACACTGCAGCTCCTGCCGACGAGGCGATACCCAGGACAACGCCAAACATGGCCGGGCTGCCGAAACCATCCACATAGGCAAAAAGGACGATACCGGTTATGGAGAAGATCATGGCAAAAATCTGGCACAGGAGAATAGATAAGGCGGTGAAGAAAATACGAACATTGGGTATAATGAGGATATACACCCCCCCCCCCCTCCACCCCCCGGCGATCTTCCCGGGAGCCGCCGTGGTGTGGTGGCTCAGGTCCTGAGAAGGCTGCACTTTTTGCAAAAAATTGACCTAAACTCCCAGCTTTAAATGGGTACCAGGTACAGTCCTGGGAAGTAAAGGCGGGATGTTGACCACATCACAAACCGAGTGCCGATTGGTCTATAGAATATAGGTCTAGCCCTATGTGCCCAATATGATTGAAGGTGTGGAAAAGGACCATTTCCCCTCCCAAGCCCCATACTTTATCCAGAGCGTCACCACAAAGAAACCTTCAGCAGGGGGGGGTGGGAAGGGGGATGGGCACAGCCCTGAACATTCTAGAAATGGGGGAGGGGAGCCTCAAGAAGTTTAAGCATGTTTAAGTATGCAATAATAATTATTTTAATTTCTTCTTCTTCATCATCTTCTTCTTCTTCTTCTTCTTCTTCTTCTTCTTCTTCTTCTTCTTCTTCTTCTTCTTCTTCTTCTTCTTCTTCTTCTTCTTCTTCTTTTTCTTCTTCTTCTTCTTCTTCTTCTTCTTCTTCTTCTTCTTCTTCTTCTTCTTCTTCTTCTTCTTCTTCTTCTGCTACTTCGTCTTCTTCTTCTTCTGCTGCTGTTGCTGCTGCTGCTGCTGCCCATGACCTTCAGTGCGCGAGACAAACGGCTTGGTCACATCGCCATGGAGACCTACGAATTCTTTTGAGTAGGCAATAGCTCCAGCTGACCGTTCTCTACTTTTTATCAGCAATTCTCATGAGGTGCTCCGTGAAGCCTTTCGGGCTGCGCGAGCACTTCACGGTACTACGAGAGCAATTCACCGGGGCTCCGCGAGCACTTCACGGTGCTCCGAGAGCAATTCACCGGGGCTCCGCGAGCACTTCACGGTGCTACGAGAGCAATTCATCGAGGCTCCGCGAGCACTTCAGGGTGCTCCGAGAGCAATTCACCGGGGCTCCGCGAGCACTTCACGGTGCTACGAGAGCAATTCACCGGGGCTCCGCGAGCACTTCACGGTGCTACGAGAGCAATTCACCGGGGCTCCGCGAGCACTTCACGGTGCTACGAGAGCAATTCACCGGGGCTCCGCGAGCACTTCACTGGGGAAAAAGGCAATCAAATCAAATAAAGATTAAGAGACACAAAAATTAGAATGATGGAGGGGGGAAAATGTTTTCAAAATATTATTTCGTAGCACTGACACTGCGAAATTTTTCAACATCACTTTACTTTACATTCCATTACTGTCTACCCTTCGCTCTTAGATCCCTAACGTTATTTCCAATGTTTTTTGTTTTGCTTTTTCTTGTTGTTGTTGTTGCTGTTGTTTGTTTTTGTTGTTGTTAACTTGTAAGAAATTAGTTTGGTGGGTCTGAGAGGCAACCCCCCGCCCCCCCCTCCCCCCGCCAACCAATTGATTCCCAAAATGGCTCCAAGAGTAAAACTATTCTGTTTAAAAAAAAAGCAACCCACCCACCCAAAAACACCCCCCCCCCCCCCCCACACACTACAGAAAAGCATAATTATACGATTAATAGTTTTTATTAGTTGACGGGAAAGTCTGTACGCCTAAAAACTATCAATAACCCGAGCCTGATTAAAAAAACACAACTGTCAGTTGATTGGTTGAACCTAAGATGTTCTTGTGTGCAATCTCAACCATTTCCATCTTTAAATTACAAAGAAAATTAAATGTCAAAATCATGACAAAATATATTCCTTTCAGAAGTTAAATGAGTCGCCGTGGACGAGCGGCTAGACGCTAGTCGCGGATCGGAAGGTCGTGGGTTCGCTCCCTGGCGGAGCCGGACTATTTTCAAAAATTACCTTGGCTCCCAGGTCGACCCAGCCTTGAGTGGGTACCGGGTACAGTCCCGGGAAAGTAAAGGCGGCCCGCGTGATGCTGACCACATTACCCATCTTGTGCTGATTGGTCTAAAAAAATATAGGTCTAGCCCTATATGCCCTATACGCCTAAAGGCGCGGAAAAGGGTATTTACTTACTTTTTACTTCAGAAGCTAAATACTGCTGCTCTAAATATGTTCAGATTGTCGTCTGTTGGGTGAAAGAAGAACTTCTTCTTCTTCTTCGCGTTCACCAGCTGTACACTCTGGCGGAAAGTTCTGGTTGCTCGTCCACTACTGAACAGCAGTCCTGCTCCAGAACCTGAGTTTTGCGTGTGCATCAGTTTTACAGATCTCATTCTCTTGAATACAGACTGTTGGTTCCTTGCCTCTCAGGCAGATGCACTGAATAAGCTCTTCTTTCATTAGTAGATATTTATCACAAAATATTAACCAATGCTCACCCTCATAGCAACAAACTTCTCAAACAAGACAATCCACGATAACAAGTAAACGAAGCTGTGATTGGCTGCGAACAGCGCGGTACAGTCGGCAGCTCCTAACTTATGCAGGGCCCGGATGTAGGTGTACGTTGTCATGGCTGACACCAAGCAGAACATACACGTCTTCCACGCGAACTGGAGCCCGCTGAAGTCCTGACTGCCTCGGTACAGATGTACACACTCTCTAAAATGGAACACAGAATCCTTATGGTAACGTCTTGTTATAGATAAAAACGCAGGTTTTGGTACTTTATTTTTTATTCACCCCAAAGAAAGGAAATCTCGAAGTTCATCACAGTCTAATAATAATATTATCCTGGTGGTGTGGGTTGGGGTTAGGGTTAGGATCTTTGTCAGCCCTGACCTCATCAGATTCACCCACTAACCCTAACTCTAACCCTTACGTTAACCCTAAACCCACGCCATAACACTCCTAAAATTTGAGCTTTCCCAGGAACTCCAACATTTGCTTTGTTTGCGGTAAATGAGAAATAAAGTACCCAGGTTTTTGACAATGTCAGAAGCGGCCAATGGCACGATCAAAGTCTCTTAAGGGTAGTATTTGCGATTTTCGCCTAAGTGCATTTTGAAGGACTTATAGGTACCGATACCTGAGGGCTCAGATAATTTGAGCACCCCCCCCCCCCACCAGCCCCACATTTTCATAGTGGGGGATGTTAACAGTTAGTAATCGAGTGTATGTGTTATCAGGGAAGACATAGTTAGTTTCCTGGCTAGAAATAACAGTGCAGGGTCGGGTTGAGGGGAAAAAAAAACTGTTGTCATTTGTTCATATAGACGCTGGACCTGTAAGCACAGGTCCCTATATGTTGCTTTTTTTCCTTCTCCGAGTGGGGCGGGGGGGGGGGGGGGGGGGGGGGTGTAAAAACCTGAGCTCCCCTTCCTCCATTGAATTATTTTCTTAGAAAATGTATAAGGAGAGCGTGGTTACGCCACCCCCCTCCCTTCCCGCATGTTTTCTAACCTAATTAAAGGTTAGAGGCTGAAGTGAATCTGAACACTCAGCAATTTCTGTGCCTATGTGGTGATACTGAAGTCGTGTTTTTGTCGGGATTGAACCTGTATCCCCAATTTTAAACTATAAAATTTGTAAGCCAAAAAAGGGAAAGGGGCCATTGGTGGGGGTTGCGTCCCCCCCCCCCCCCCACAGTGTTTTCTTCGTGGTTAATGCAAAACCGTTCTGGAAAAGACAGAAGTTAATTTCCCAAGTGTCTTGTAAATGAGCTCATCAAGCATAGTGTATGCCGTGGGCAAAGTGTTATTTGACTCGATCTTTTAATAAACAAGTCGAAGGAAGTAAGAGTTGTCACCCTTTAATAAGGGACGCAACGCGAGTTCACATTTTCGCAAAATGGACACTATTCAGATAGTTCCCCCCCCCCCCCCCCCCCCCCCCCCCCCCCCCCCCCACCTTTTTCCCCTCCCATACGATCATTCTTTCTCAGCGAACATGAAATAAGAGAAATGTGCAGGCAACCACGGCTATACTGATTGCGCTATATCCGT